CAGCGTGCGAGCTCGCTTCCTTTCCCGTTCACCAGCTGCCTCAGGCCTGTGACTTGAATCCAGGAGACGGACCACGTCTTCGGGACAATCAAATGTTTGCCGACTAATGAAAGCACTCTGTTGTGAGAAGACCTGATCAATGTCTTCATGACCTCGACTGAGCAGTCATGAAGTGTAGCTCGATCTAAGCTGCAATGGGTATCGAAACAATAGCAAAGCAAACGAAGTCACAAACACGCCTACTATAAGAATAATGTCAATTCAGTGCGAAATGCTGTGCCCCGTTCTGAGAAAGTTTGCAAGAGTGTATCGGAAAACTCTGAGGCACACCAGAAGGCACAACCAGCCCATGGTGTAAGTGTTTTTTCCCTCCCGATAGGTGTTGTCCTGCTGGAGTGCAAGTCCAGCTGGAAGCTGTCTTGCAGAGTCAATGACCTGAGACACAGTTCGGGCGAGCATCTCCATCTGTGTCTGGCTATCCTTGCGAAGACATTCGTCAGCGACGAAGAAGTTCAAGCTCCTACCGTGGTTCCATGTGGCTGCCACATGTAATGTAGGTCGGAACAAACGAGCAAGAATTTTCGAGGATTGCTCCCGAATGCGAGGACATTTGTACTTAGACTGGTCCATGCCGTCTGCAATGATCGTCATGACTGAGGTCGCGATGGACGAAGTCAGTATCCTGAGGAGGGCCGACAGTCAGTGTCCCTGCCTAAACTCAAGAATTGTTTCGCGCGGAGAGTATTCAAAAGAAACCGACAGATGTGACAAACTCAGAACAAATGGTCCTGTGACCCAGGAGGTCTTGCTGTCGAAAGAAAGTCTGAGATAGGCTACGGAACTGCCAATACAGCTGCCGATCCAGCCACTGTGACAAGATGTGGCGCATGTATGCACGCTGCTGCTCCTGCCGATCCTCACCGCTCTTCACCTTGGCTTTCAAAGCTTTCTTGAGCCGGGTGCAGTCGTCGCATTTCGCATGCTCGTTCACTTTGCGAAACTTGAGAAAGCCATGCTTTTGAGCAGGGCCCACCACACACCGAGCGATGCGCATGAATGTTTGGTAGGAAGCAGGCTCCTCTTGATTTGCATTGCAGTACGCTTTATACTCCCAAAACATCTCCGAACGACTCCCATATGGAAGGCATCGCCGCTTCCCAGAAAAGGTTCCAGGGCCAATTGTATGCACATCTATATCCGAGCTTTGTGTGGTCAGCGTCCGCATGAAGCTGTTGATAGCACGCAGGTGTGCATCGTCATCACCCTGCAATCTGGCATCGGCAACAGCACGGAAGCCACCATCTTTGGTAGCAGCACGGAAATTGTCTGGCATGTGTTCGGCACAGCTGTGGTACACATACCACATATACATCACAACCCCCATCCACTTGGCAGCGACCTCACCCCTGATCGTAAAACCAAAAGAAGGGTGCTTCGGCAATGGAGCCCTACTCTTGTTAGTGTACACCCTCTCTCCTTGCCTCATTCTCTGCAACGTCGTTTCGCCTATGCCCAAAAGACTCCGCATGGCCCGAAGACAAACTTCTCGTCCAACAAAATTGGCACTGTCCTGAGTTCTCCGGGCACTATAGGACCTGCGGCTTTGTCGACTTGAGCTTTGTGCTTGACCAGGACTTTCCTCATCAGATGCCATCAGAAGAGGTGAACCCTCTTCATCACAATCAGAGGCCAAAAGCGCATCGTCCTCATCGGACTCCAAAAAAGTGGATTCTGAATCCCCTTCGCCTGCTGCTGCCACGGAAAACTCTGCCTCCCCACAGTTGAACTGCTTCTGAAGAAAGGCTGCCTGCAGAACAAACCGACTCGCATGCCATCAGACCCTGGGTTTTAGGCAATTAAAACAATACAACCTCATTGTTATTCCAAGCACAGCAAACCCCTAGACCATCAAGAAAGTAAGGTCGCCTTCTCCAACGGCTGCAAAGCCCTGAACTCATCCCGCTTGGTTTGCACGACATTGGGACAATCTTGGAACTGCTTGAAGCATATGCCTCGCTGGCATGTGCAGTCACGGCTCAGCAACTTCTGCAGCTTCGTAGCAACGAGCTGCCCACTTCGAGGCGGTTCATTCTCATCGTCTGAAACATACATCATGGCCGAAATGGCTCCAGGAGTCCAGCTAACGCTAAGTACATACCCACTAACTTTATTCATCTAGCATGGGCAAGCATTCATTGCCAATACCACTTGCAACGACCTCTTACTGCACGAACACACGAATCTAGATATGAAGAGAATTTGCTTGATACTGAGTGGCTATGCAACACCGGAGACTGGCAACAGTAGCAGAACCTACTTGGAGAAGGATGACTTGCAGCTGCTGTCAACTTGCACTGAAATCTGCACCACCCAGTCCTGGCAGCGGCTGGTCTCATGAACTTCGTGATGCCGGCAGCCGAAGGTCGCTTCATGCTCGCTGCAGGTCTTTTCATTCTAAGTGCTCTAAGTCTAGCACTTCTGTGTTCAGCACTACAGAAAAGCTTCGCCTTTGAATCACCAGGGAGACATGCATGGCCCACAGCGCACAGAAGAAAAGTTCAGCTACCGTTGCTGCTGGCATCTTCTGCACACACGACACGCTGCAGTGACAAGCACGACAGACACACACGCGCACAAACATACCACACGGACCCACACACATACTACAAATCCTTCCAAGCAGAAACACCAAACGCAAA